AAAATGGGAATAATGCCAGGTTTCCCAGTCCAGTGCAGGTGAATTTTCTTGAGGAATTCATAACCCGAGCATTCGGCTAACCGAAGACTGACCCACAAGGTAGCGAGGCCGTGTGTGAAAACCGTAATCCATTGGGACCGGTGTCCAGTTCGTTGCAGCATACGTCCTTTGGATGGGGTCAAACGTTCAAGGTGCCAATACACCTCGAAGCCCAATCAGATCGGCGAGGAATACCACAACCAGGAAGCTGTGGGTGGGTGTGTGGTTCGTTCGCCTCTTCTTGGTTGGTCTGGAACCAAGGTTTTTAGCCAACTCCCCTAGGTGAGCTACCAGTGGTCCACCAACTCGGTTATAGCCCTGGATGTCGGTTTTTCGTCTTCTCTCTTTGGTGGGGAAACATCTCCGCCACGAGATGGTAGTGAGTACAGCTTCCTCAGCAGGGGCTGTTTGAGATGCTTGGTCACATAGGAGCATTTCGTGAGGTTCAAGGGTAGGGTGACCAGCCACAACCCAAGACATCCNCTTTTGGAGGCTTACTCAGGTGTACTCCCCACTAAATTCCGCGTTGACTGAAGTTTCAGATTGTTTCACTCCTAATTTGTGAACAGTACGGAAATCTATCTGTTCGTAGGCAAAATTTCAACTCACAAATAGACCTCACCGATTTTCAGCCAGTTTGAAACGTGTGTCGAAGTGTCATTTGTTTGAAGGTCAACAGGCCTATGGTTTTTTGCTGGCCAAAATGAAACCAGCGCACGAGACCAATAAAACCAACTGCTGCGAAATTAGGACTACTATGACCGAGCAAACAAGGAAGCTGATTGGATAAGACATTTTTAGTCAATGATGTTCCTTGCTAAATATTACTTAATGGGTTTGATTTCCACGAACTATTAAGCAATTCTTTCGGGGCCCACATCATTCGTCGTTTAACTGATTTGAAGTGTGATCCAATTCAAGGCAAGCTAAGACACACCTCATGCATTGGAAACGGTTGAATCTTTTGTATAATACACGAAATTCCGTGGAATGTTTAAAAACAATATTTTTACTACCTTTTTTCGTTTATTGATATGAAATAGAAATTTACCATAAACATTCAGGAAGAGGCCGCGGTTATACAAAGGCTGCCTTGGGAAAATATAGAAAATGGAAGAGTAGCGAAATATTTATTACTAACAGGACAACAGATCAGTGAATTTGGAGCACCTCAGGTCATTCTGATATACATAATCGACAATGAGTGAGCGATCTGCGTGAGGTAGGAAGTAGTGAGTGTTGTTACCGTATTCAGATATTCGAAAAGAAAGAATTTGAAGTGAGGGATCCGATGTTTTTAGTAAATAGGGAATTAAGTAACTCTTTAGGTAAACAATGCCAAATTTTGGAAAGCAGTGACGTGATTTTTAAAAATGCTGACACTAAACTTAAAGAAGGAATTACGCAAGCTCTGGAGATTAAAAAACCTAGGGGATCCAGAATCTGGGGAGAACCCCTTAGCTTTTGAGCCGAAAAATTCAAGAACCGTGGCCAGGGTAAAATACATTCACTAATAACTTTATTTAGCAACTAGTGGTAAATACGTAAAAGTATAGGTTACGAGCTTCGGAACTATGAGAGATCGTAAGAAAGAGGAACTACAGAGGCGGTGTCCAGTGGTTGCTTTAGGAATGAGATTCTGCGGTATGTGCAGATTGATCTTAGACAAATAGAAGAGAGTGTGGGTCGATTTAGCCACCCTAACTGTGGACGCGGTTGAATGCGAAATCGAGTGCAGAAAATGAGCATGCAAGGAAGTTTACGCGATTTCATGCATGTATAGCTAGCTAGTCAACGAGGTGTCATCTGGTTTCGTTGCCTCTATTTCACCTGGTGTTTCCACAACAATACCCATAAGGAATGCAGTAGGGAGCAAACTCCCAAGGCCTTTTCCAGATTCCATGCACTCTGGATACATTTATGATATTTCATAGGATTAATTCTTAGTGTGTAGCATGCTTCCGTTATGTTTATGAGATCCCGAGTTCGATCCCGGTTAGGTCGATGGGTTCGCACTGCTGATGAGACCCAAACAGATCAAAACAGCTGTACAGTTTACGCTTCATTTGCTCTACAAACGACGAACTCCTCTTATGAAATTGAATCAGATCCCCCATTGCTCTCATGCAATTTATTTATTATATCATTTTATTGCGATCATTTAATCAGTCCCTTCAGCAGTTTGGCACATTGCAGATAGATTAAGCCTACACAAGAAGTTTCCTATGCTTTATTTGTTACGGGCCCCTATGGGTGCATGCAGAATGATAATTTGATTGTAAAATCGCCTTGATAAAGGTTACCCACGGTAACCGAAACGTCGGCTTATTTTCACCTGTACCGACATAACTGTGTTTTCAAAATTACAACTTATAGAAAAGGTAACTTTAAAAACATTCCGAACATCGACCTAACTTCGATTCAACCTCTCCAGCTTTTTTGCTTCTAGCATCACTTGTAACCGACTATTTGTGAGCATGAGTTTTTCATGGTCTATATTAAAGCGTATTTTTATTTACTGGAAAATACCCATCGACTTCATCAAGGAGTCAAGCTGGCAAACAACAAGCTCGTTGGTAAATAACTCACCTTAAACAAGGTTATTTGCCAATTCGACTTCTATATTTTATTTATTAGAGATATTAGAAAAACGAATTGTGAAAACAGATTGTATCATTCAGGAAGTTTGTGACTCAATACATCCAAAAGTATCGAACCTTCTTGTGAAACAGTCTGTCGCACCAAAAATCATTCCCTTGCGTCATTGATTTCTCTTAAAGTCAAACGTTTTAAGTTTCTCTGGGATGCACAGAATCTATTGGATCGTAATTGTTCGAAAGAATGTAATGGGTTATTTATTGCTTGAAACACATTGCAATATGAAACCAATCCGGGTAAGAATCACAGCAATTTTGCATTTGATCTAGACTAGGTCATCCAAGAACCGGACAATCGACTTCGGAAGACGAGATTTCAAGAAATTGAAACAAGCTTTTCCCGTGATAAATTTGAAAAGATAAGCCAGTATAGCAACATTGCACGATTCATATCCGCGACGATTTCGCTGCTTCTCAACTGGTGCCTACTGCAATACAATGTTTATATAGGGTTTGGGAATGGATTACAAAATAAACACTTGTAATTAGGGGGAAGTGTCACCAAGGCAAAGTCAAGGTGATGAATAAGTCTTTTAGTTGACACAGAATTGGTTTCCATCGGTTGATTGTGACTGCCTCGGCGATCTTGAGCATTCTGGTGTTATCACTAGTAAAACCTACTCGAAATGCTTTCTCGTGATCCACGAAGTGTTGCGTCATCAATAAACGCTTGGCAATCGACGAGCTCGGTGGTTTGTAAGCACGGTCCGTACCAGTTACCGGCTGTGGACTTTGTCATGGCAACCTGGCGTTGATCCCAGTTCGGAATGTATTCTAAAACCCGATTCCTTAATCGCCTTTCTGTTCTGCCTATTTAGGTGTCTCCGCACCCACATTGGAATTGACAGATTACGTTTGAGATGGTGTACAGAGGTGGGCGTTCTTTAACCGGGCACACTCCTTGTCATGTGCACAATTCTGGGTTTGGCTACGTAATAAGTCCGGTTGACAACCGATCGTAGCCGTTTATGGATTAGATTAATTACATCATCACCTTTGAATGGAAGACAAATCGTGATCTCCAATCCAGAAAACGGTGAATTCCACATTTACGGGGACCTAAGTTTCGGTTATCGAAGCTGAGAATCTGAACTTTTGAACTCGGAGAGATCTCATAAGAATTTCAAACCTATGTAAAAAGTCTTTTAAAAGTTTTTCTTAGTGACCCTGAAGAGGCCCTCTCCGGGGTGAGGGTTGAGCTACCGCATTGATTTCTTGACTTTAGGGAGAGATTTTTTCAAAGAAAAGCATTTTCGATATAAAATCTTGTATACAATGAATAATTCTTAGCTTTCAACGCTTAAATCAGAAAAGAATCCTGTTGTCACCTCATTAGTTCCTTTGGTTCTCCATGCTATAACTAGGACTCATCAAAATGTGTACAGTTTGGAACTAATTTTAATGAAACGGCAGAAAGTTTTTCTTTTATCCGTATTTATCACGTGATTCGATAGAACGGTATTCTTGGAAGAACCCCGAAATTATTCGCCTAGAGTGTAAGCTGTCTCTAAAAAAATCAATCATAGGCGCATTTTATTCGTTAGTGTCTATGGAGCGCAAAACATGAACGGCGTAGGGATTGTGTTATCTAAGAGTAAAAGCTTACCACCATGTTTGATGCAAGCTAGGGGTCAACCACGCTATTCACGGCTGAATGGTTTTGTGTTGGTTCAAACTGGTCCAACCAAAGGCCGTTGCTCACCACTCACATCTGAATAGTTGCACCCAATCCGAGTGAAAACACCGTTTTTACGATTTGAATACTCAACAAATGTGCTAGTCGTCTTCGGAATCTTCAACAAGAGACAGGGTTACCAAGTTGGTGATTTCGGAACCCGTAAAAACTGCATGGACAGCGGTGACTACTTGATGTGATTGTGTGTAAATCATGGATTAGTTTTAACGAGCAACAACATTTCATATAGAATGTAACATCATCCAACACGGCAGCCTCTTCCTCATTCGCAGCATTCGGCCTTCGATCGATCATGTTACCACAGAATCTCAAAGAGTAGATTTATTCCCGAATATCGTCTCTGTCTTTTTGATCGTCTTTTGTTAAGGGACAATACTTGATTACGGATCTGTTGTGGTTACATTAATAAGGTTAGCCGTCATTCGCACTGTGTTGATTTCAAAATGGAGACATCTTGATGTCGTATGACTCAACTGCCCCAGCGTTTCAGTTCCAGTTTGTTAGTGTTCATGTAGCATTGAGATTAATAAAAAACTAACACATTTATACACCTCAGAGACAAATGACTCTAGTAGCGATCCAGTTACCAAACTGTAGCTTTGTTCAGGATGCAACTGGTGTTGCAAGCAGATTTCTCAGCTGCATACTTCTCCGAAACCCGAGAAGCAACGGAAAAGTTCAAGGAGATGGAGAAGGTTACAAGGATCAACAGTAGTTTTCATTTAATTAACTACATTGATGAACGCGGTTCGGGTGTATGTGAAATAGCTGAACTGTTCCGCGACAATTTGGTTCACTCACAGGATTACGGTCTGAAATACTTGACAGGTGACTGTTGTTAGTAATGGTATGCTGCAACTTGGTAGCAAAGTTATTTTATTTCACCTGTTCGCCGAGATTTGCAATTTGTTTGCAAACATCATCAGGCCACTTCACAAGCACTGATGATGTCACTTCGGCTGGTGATGAAACGTTTGCAAACAAATTGCCAAGCTCGGCGAACAGGCGAAATGGAATTCAGTTCAATCGAGTTACGAGAACCGATTTTCAATATTTTGTCAAAACTTCATTCTGCATTGAAGCTCACTATGATTTGATATCAAATGATAAAAGATTACTGGAATCGGTGAACAGATGGTCGTTAGTTTGATTAGCTCCAAGTTTAATCGTACTGTGGACATCCTCTTCTGTTCAATATCCTCCAGAAGATAAGAGGGGATCAGAGGAAGCTCATAACCGAGTAAGGCTATGTGGTGTATATTTTATTTTTTCGTCTAGTTTCCAGATAGACTTCCTCCGTGAACAGCGAACTCACCATGGTGGTCAGTGATTGAAAACGAGCAAAGTTAATCAGTGCGCGCTTTGTCACAGAAGTAAACCAAAAGAACAAATCGGGTCCAGTTGAAACACATGCGGGTGCATCCAGTCTATGGTCGTGAATAGTGAGCAAATGGGATTACTGTTGTGCCAAGTGGCGTCTGTGAACCCGTTGAGTTAGATCTGTTGTTCAAATCTATTGCATTCACAACCGCAAACGTTAGTTCTGTTCGCGAAATATTTTATTTCTCTTTGGTTTCTTTTTTCATGGACACTATACAATATGCGAAATATATCTGCCTGGAATGAAACTGACTGATCTAGAGCTAAGGATATTGAACTGGTTAGTCAGGAACGCGTAGTATTTGCTAAACTTACAACATTGCAACTTCAAATTGCCATTCCTGTCAAGCTTCAAACAGGTCTTCCTCGCCCGACGGAGGTTTGGTTGGAAATCTGGGATTGGCGCACCGATGATAAGCCCCATCGGAGACAAAACAGTTCTCCAAAGCGCTTTTTCAATCAACATGCCAAATGTTTCTGTCCAGTAAAATACCGAACAGGAACGATTGGTGGAGGAAAGGGGTTTTCAATTATTCTAAATTTTCTTAGGAGAAAAATAAAAATCGTTGCCTTGTCAATGTGGTATTGCAATCATTCGCAGTTCTGCTATAATATTGCTTCTAAGCTCCTACGTGTCTAAAATGGTAATACTATGAAACCAGAGCGCATAATTATTCATCTCAGCGTATACTTGTCAATACTGTTATCATAATTTGATAAGGATTTTGTTGCTATGACTACGACTTTAGGGTGGGGGGGGGGAGTTTCTTTTGACAGTCACTTTTTGTACGGTACTTTTGGTGGGTGTTTGTGACTCAAACGATTGTCCAGAAGTGGGTTAACCCAGTGTTCATAGCAGTGAGTTGAACACTGGATAATGGTATTTCCAGTGGGTGAGATTGGCTGCACCCAAAAGGGTGAATGAAACTGGAGTGTGAAAAGAAAATAGGGAACATGTCATAAATCAAACTTTGGGTGAATGTGTGAAGCAACTATTCCATAATATCAAATAATGTAGTCAAATACTGGACATTGAATGAAGTAGTTACTGGAAAAGTACTGTGACACATAGTTTGTATTACCTTTTTCAACGAAGGTTTAATACATTTGATTGACCACTACTATTGGGTATAGCAATACCATTTATGATTTCTTTTTGCCTCAAAATGAGTCGGAAGATTACTCTGTGGACCGGGGTGGGATAAAGGATCATCAAACTCAAGCTTTTCTCGTCCAGGTATTAAATAAATACTTCCACTGCAACCGATTAACAAGTCATGATCTTACCCCGGTGGTATTTATGTTTTAATACCCTAGTTCTAATGTGATCCCAACAACTTCGAATGCAAATGATAAGGATGAATACGTTTTCGCATCACATACTTGGCTTCGTTTAATGTTTTACTAATAAAGAATCTTACGATATCATCATCGTGGTACTATGTGAATGGTATATTGAAGGCTGGAGTGATGAACGTTTGGGGCAAAGAATTTTATCCTACGGATTATGCGGTTTTCGATGGTTGAATAATTTATGCTGTTCCCAACTCTACAGATCTTTTGATTACGCCAGGGAAAATTTGCGTTGGGTTGCACAGATATATTGATCCATTTTGGCTACTATTGTACTTCGTCCGGGAATTACAATGTTGTTGATTTTCAGACTCGCATTTGTACTGCGCAAGACGTAGTCATGGAACGTTTTTGATTAATAATCAGACATTTTTATTATTACTGGCACACGTTTGCTTGTTGCTGGGACACGTTAATCGCAGGGGGTATCGAAAAAAACAGTTGAACACTCCGGTTGTGATTAAGATATGACAATTTCTCAATCTGTATTTTGTTGTATCATTTCCGGTTGATTTGCCTAGTTCAACTAAGTGGTTCATTGTGAGTGCTATTTTTACTGTGAGTTTGTGGAAGGGCACTTCATATCTCTATTTTCATGTGATACGAATGCATTCCGGGCTGTTGCACAGTGCAGCGGAATGAACAGAAATACGCAACAAGATGTCCCCCGGCTCGTTTTGTCCACAGCTAGAGACTATAAGAGGCTTCGCGGGAGACCGACAATAGCGGGAGAACGAAGGTAGGGCGACGATAAAACCGGAACACAGAGTGGCCGGGGAAACACTGGCAGACAGGTCCTCCGTGGATCAGGGTTAAAGATAAACCCGCAAGGAAAGACAAATAAAATGCTATGAACCAAAAAGGTTCCAGTGAGACAAACACTCAGGATGAACTATTCCTGGTGCGGCTGCCAAGCGTTAAATTCACTGTTGCTGGCTAACAAGTGTCCGTATAACATCCTCATTGTTTTTCACCAAGTCAGAAAACGGTAATTTGTCACAGTCGGAAAGAAAGAAGATGCTGTCAGTGTACAATTGCGTATTGGCATAGGGTATGTTGCTATGATCGTGAGAAAGTTTAATATGGTGATTCGTTGTTGCCTAATGACCAAGCACTTCCTCAGTTTTCTTACAACGTAGACGTCGTAAAGTGGAGTGGTATCTTTCCAATTCGATAACGCCCAAATACAGAACGCATACATAGCAGATCCCATACGAGTTTACGTAAAATGCGCGCTTGAAAGTTATCCGCGTGATTTCTGTTCGAAATAAATGTAAAAAGCAATTATTTATATACCAAGATATCGTTAAATAGAATGTCTAGAGGTCCACCAACTGAATACTGAAGTCATTGGGAGAATAAAACGATAGGAAGAGACCACTGAGTGCCAACATCTCTCCTTCTTTTATTAGTCAGTAGAATGCAACACCAAAATGTATTCCTACGTGTGGGGAAAAATTGTATTGAAAACTCTAAAACTGGAATATATCTTTTCCGGTTCCTTACCTACACTAAATTGAAAACTTCAGTCGCAATACACGACGCCGATCACAGTACCTTTGATGGTCGACTACCATTAAAGCTGCCCCCTAAGTGTGCAATGAATGGTTATCACAGGTGTGGAACCATGGGATAATGTCGTGCGAAGCCATGAGATAAGGCCTCAGTTGCAGATAGTAGATGGAAGGATGAGAGAGAGCGGAAGTCGGTGGAACTGAGATGAACAGATGGACTGAGAGATCCACGTTTGAACGTAGTTGGGGTGTGGAGAGCTATCTGGTTCGACAGGAAGTCTGAGATGCTTTTCATCAATTGAAGCATGACTGGTTCACAGCATCCACCTAAAGACAAGCCTTGATCTTATAGAATGAAATCGCCCAAGTAAACCGAGGTGACATCCTCGGAACAAATTTCTCAATAGTAAACATCAAACTTTGTCAATAGTGCATCACGTAGAATGAGTGTAGTCACTGACAAGAAATATGGCTGACTAAATGTTAATAAACTGTCTCAATAAACGTCTTGTGATCACATGCGACTGGGATTTATGAATAAATTTCCTACTGCTTTTGTAAGTATTCGTCCTGTTTGAGACTATTATTATATACTTGTTTGTGCGGTATCCGAGGGGGCGGGGACTGAGGTTCTATTTTTTTAACACCCACATGTATACATTACAAAAATAATTATCTACCGATGTAGAACAGGAAATACATTGATTAGATGAATAAATCCGTGTTGAAACAAACGATACAAGGGCAAAATCCTTTCTTCACTAAACAACTCTATGCTCTACTAAATGTATATAATAATTTGTATTTCATAACCTCGTTCACTAATGATGTATCCACCCATTTGATCTTCTATCTATCCCCAACTGCATACCGTGAACACTGCTTCAATCGGGTGGGCAACATGAGACATGGATTACCCTGCCCCGATGAATAGATCAGCGCAGTCAGAAAGTGATTTGGGAGAGAAAAACAAAGAAAACCCCACTGTTTGGAGATCCACTGAGCAAGAAAATATTGCCGATAGAAAAGCTTTGAAAGCACTATTATTTGGTTCGATGGTGTGAATGATTGATAAACATTAAAATTTGAATCTGACGGGAAAAACCATCAAAAACCACTGGGTATTGAAGTGTGAAAATGAAAAGGTTTGGAGGGTTAGTGATAGCTTTATCCAACATATTTCCTCTCTCTCTGATAGAGGACTATTACCCTCTCAACAAACCACAAAGGAGACACGAGTAAATAAATATTTGTGTGATTGAGCTTGTTTGCAAGCAAATTTGAATTTCCCGACAACAAGACAGAAATCAAAAGTATACATGACATAAAATAAATAAGGTAACGTTTGATTGCGTACCAAAACGGATGTATACAAGTTGTGTTGTATTGTATTAGCCGGTTTCAACATTTAGGTTCACGCTTTGAGCCTCTGGGGCAGAGACCGTGTGTAAACCGAAGTGACAAGTTAGTGGGTCAACAAAAGAATAATAGTTCTCTCAAAACTTTATTCCTGCCCGTCAAAAACTGTGTCAAGTAAAGAAGTATAGATTCGCGTGAGGGCAGAATAGCATAAATCAATCTACTGAATGTAAAAAGTCATCATGCAGAGAATGAGTTCAGGTGGTAATAGCTTTTGTCAGCAAAGGAAAGACCAGATGTGAGTCTCACGGCTATGACGACAATTATTATGGAATTAGGATCTCATCAAATATTCAATACGAGGGTATTCAATAACACTTGGAGAGTAGCTAAGAAGGTTGACAGTCGGTCCTTTGAAATAGAGTCAGTTTACGCAACTAAAACATATCCAATGTCCCCATTAGTCTGTATTCATTCCTTTCGGAAATATTTGCATCCATAACTTTACAAAATAGAGCAGAGTTAAGGCGAAAATAAAGAATTCATATAGACTGGGGTTGCGAGCACAATGAGTGGATGCTTGTGACATCCAACCAAATCCCTCTGTGTCTCTAAACAACGGTCACCGTAATCTCAGGGTCCCTTGCCAGGCAGCCTAATGGGACATATGTTACCCAGTTTACTGCTTAGGGTTTTTGTACCCTTATACTAAATCATTGCTTGACCTCCCCTGCCTCGGCAGACATCAGGCGCCGTGTCAACCCATCTGCTGACGCGCAAAACGTGTCGAAAACACCGTAGTCTATGGAGGTCGACCACTTGCTCCAGTGGGCGAACGCGATTACCTAAACCTCTACACCAAACCTCGGTGTTGCTCGTCCGGTCACCCCACCAGCCTCGTGCAGAGCGGCGTAGAAAGGTGGTAAAAACTCTTTAACAGGTTGTATTTGGTTCCCAGAATATTCCGGAGTATTAGGTAGGCATATAGATAAGTTGAAATCAGGTATATGACTGAGTAAATGGGATCGAACACCCAAGAGTGACTAAGGTCACAGCAAATGTAGCGCATCCCCCTTCTTGAGGCGCGCAATGTGTAACTTACTCTGGATTATCTGTATTTGAATAATAGATGTCAAACTGCTACTATCATACTACCACATCTAACCAATATTTAAGAAAAAGAAACGTATCTGCTATGCTATTTCAGAAAAAAGCTAATGCGGATGACTCCTTTTTGTCCAGTTTTCATCTTTCGAAAATTCACCGACAAAATCATTTCAATCACTGAAAACGGGGGTATGTAAATGCCATGAAAAGTTGATCGTATCGCAGTACTCATGACTTTTCTGCCTTGCACCATTCATTCCTTCAGGATCGTCTACGAGTGTTGGAATCCCAGATGGAGTCGCTGAACGCACTGCCGAACAATCGTGAACTACTAGACAAAATGTTCCCACCTACCGCGACGAAAGCCGCTCCAGACTCGCAAACCAACCAGGACCAACGCAGAGTGTCCGAGTTGTGGCAGACGGTTCAAATGAAACGTCGTGTAGATGCGACTGAAGAAGGCTTGTCACGGGTGAGCACTGAACAAAACCGAATTGTCTCAATCATATGGTTGCAGCTCGTTTTTATCCCCGGTGATCGGGATATAGGGAACACTAACTTGTTTCTGTAGTCTATGGATTCCGCTTAGATTTTAGTCTGCAAACTGCAAACTCAGAAATTAGTTTTCGATTGTGTCCGGAACAAACCACTCCTCGAAAATTCAAATACATCAAACAGATGAAACCAAATGTACTTCAGCAGAATGAATCAGACATTGTAGGTCATTGTTCCGGCCACAATGTGACCGAATCTCACCACCGGGGTCTGCCGTGCCCATGTCCGTTCCATGCCCTTATCAGCTCCGTTGAATGTNAATGTCATAATACTGTACAGATGATGTACATCATTGTTAAAAAGCCAAAAGCTACAATGGATCAGTAGTTTGAGAAACGGTGCACCCATTTATCGGTTATAAAGTTTGTATTACCGAGGTTCGCTTAGACCACGGTCTGGAGCAGGACACTTGTGGATGATATATATATATATATATATATATATATATATATATATATATATATATANNNATATATATGATGTTCAGTTGTTCGCCGAGCTTGGCAATTGTATTGCAAAGGTTTCATCATCAATCGAGGTGACATTCTCAATGCAATAACCCGAGCTACAAAAACAACAATCAACACTGTTGTTTATAAAACTGTCATATATATATGAACTACTATTGCACTGAAGTGAAGTATATAACGAGGCCAGCAGATTTGGCAGATCAAGAATAATTCGTTTGACAAGGGGTGATAGATACAATCTACAACCTTTGGGTTTGGTTGCAGCAAACATTTCGTTGTGCGTTTTCTTCATGTATTCATCATATTTGAGGTATGAGTCTTCTACTCGAACAGTGTTTTTCATTAGGATATTTCATAGTTCAAAGATACGACCCGTTTCAGAAGCCTAAAATCAGAGATGAATTACTTCCTTTACCGATATCCTTGTATGCGTGATCATGCGTCAACCGGTTTTTGTGTAGTTTTACACGCCTCCCCACAATGATGTAATTTTATTGGATTTATTTAGGAAGTAAATCAATACCCTATTCATTTGTTGATGACTGAAAGTATGCCAATCAGTACAAACTTATCCGGGTCCGAATACTTTGCAATTTATCATCTGTAAGTGCAAATTATGTAGATTAGCCCATTCGGTTTTTCACAGGCGCCAAGCACTGTTGATGATGTTCGTTGTGGGTTTCACTCGTTTGTAAATCGTTAATTCCCCACCGTTTGTATGCATTTAAATGCGATGGAAAAGTTTGTGATAACCGACAAAGAACACCGGACAGCTGTGCTGTTTGGGACTCGTCAGCAGTGCCTACCTTTTGTGCCCCTGTCAAGACTCAAACCGCGAACGTTGAAACTTTGAACAGTCGAATGCGCTAATCCAAGCTTGATAATCTAAACCGATTAAGTCAATCGCACAAGATGATGACTGTCGACCGTGTAGCTCAGGGGTAGGAAGTTGAACTCCCAAACCGAAGAATCGCGGTTCGAGTCCTGACAGGGTCACAAAAAAATACGCACTGCTGATGAGTCCCAAACGGGACGAAACATCTATCCAGTGCTCTTTGTCAGTTATCATAAACGTTTTCATCGCATTTGAATACAATTATGTGCATCTAACAGTGGGAAGAGATTGAGTGAAGTGAAACTGTTCGAGTGTCCATAATGCATGTGGGTGTGAATAAATTCGTTTGATTTTTCATAGACACAAGGCAAGGTGTGTTGTGTTCTTTGAAGCACAAGTGTGTGTGTGTGTGTGTGCGTGCGTGCGTAATTCACTCCCTGGGAGTTAATTTTATCGATAATCGCAAATAACTTTATCGCAAAATTTAGTACATTTGTCAGAATAACGGACAACTAAGGGCTAAAGACAATCAATCAGTCGCTTAAATAAATGTCGTTTGATCGTGTCTTTCAAAATATTCTCATATGCACTGATTATCTGGTTGGGAAACGAGATTCCCAGTTGCCGACGTATCGTACGTTTAACATCACATGGTCACCGCTCCAACGACCGAGTGTATACATCTATTACAGTCATTTAAACCAATCAACACACCGATCGTTTATCATTATGAGGTTGCCTTGATACACTGTTTAAGATTGAGGTTGTTCGGATCCAAGATACAATGGTCACCACTCATTCATTACTCACTGTTATTACCATCTCACACGAAATTGGTAATATGAGTGACAATAATCAACAGGAACCTTTGGAGTCTTTTGTTTCTATCGTCACGAGTATCCGGGACGTTTGTGGGCGGGTCTAGAGTACACGACAGTGGTTCGGTTTTTCACTACCAGTATCTACACAATGAGCTACTCTCTCTCTCTCTCTCCCTCTCTCCACGTAATACAGCGGTTTGTTTGACTTGATGACAATAGGCCATCGTTTCTTTCGCTTCCGGTTGTGCACACACATACATGCGCGGGCACACACACACACACACAAAAGAAAGCATACCAACAATTAGGAAGTGGGTTCTTCGGTCTGTACGCATATGTTCCCAAATAAGCTATATCGGGATTGAGGGGCGGGAGGGGGGTGTACAATGTCTCGAAACAGTGACAAGCCGAGTTTGTTTTTATTACTATTGTTGTTGTTGTCGTTGTAGTGGTGGTGGTTGCTGATGGTTCTACTACTGTCTTTATTATGCTGAGAAGTATTCTACTATAAACCGAGGCCCCAGGAGTTTGAGCGAAAAGACCTTACGGGGAGAAATACGACAAAGTTGGCTTGTTCTAAATTTTGGCCAACAATATAGTAAGCAATCTGGTAGACAATGAATGCAGTTTAACGGAATGCGCTTCGAAACAAACAGTGGTCTATTCATGTTCGATACACGACCGTGAAATGATCCGGAACAGGGGATAGCTAACAGACAGTGGACAAGAAAGGATAGGGTTTTTGATGAGTAGTGGTTCCGTTTTCTAAGCCGTGGTTGAGGATTGTTGGATATTCGGAATGACAGTAAATTGGAGACACACACGGGGTAGAAAAATCAAGTCAGCTCAGGATACTACTAGGAGAGAAACGGGTGCGACTGATATACATCTATAATTGCAAGTGCAATACCGCTGGTAAGACCTGAAATTTGACCAGTTATTACCGGAGATTTTGGTATGTTTGATAAGAGCAGTTTATGAACATGGTACAATTATACATGTAAACTTACCATCTTGCGTCACCGTTTGTCATATCCCAGTCCCGTTTTGAAAATGCTTCGGATTGGTTCACGCCGCGGATGTTTGAAAGAAAGTTCATCGGAGCTGGGTTGACTAGTAGATGTGAAAAATTTCTCTCGAGTCTGACCTGGTCTCAACATCCAGCCGAGATGAATGTAGTCTTGAATGTCCCAGATTAGTCACCCTGAAAGAGATCGCTCTCTTAACCAACTATTCAATTTTATGTTGTTCACCACAATATGCTAAAGAAAGGCATCATTGGAAATTGTATACCGCAGAATATACAAATAATAGATGGCTCAATTGGGCATCAAGATGTATTGGACACCTTGGACGTTTGACCCCTGCAGACGGACGTATGATCCGATGAACTGGAAACCGGCCCGCAATGAACTGTCGTTTTCACACACCGCCCCGTTGCCTTGCGGGTCAGGCTTTAGCTAGCCAAAGGCTCCGGTTGTGGATTCTCCAAGGAAATTCACCTACCTTGGCCTGGGCAACGTGGCACTATTCAGCCCGCATGTAAATCATGGAACGTTTTTCTTTTCACAATGATTATTGTACCATGATTTGTTTAGCACACAGTCTAACGTCAGACGTGTGTGAAACATATAATAAATAATGGATGGTAATTAATCGGCTCTAAATTCGATACAATGTAAGTCAAAAAGGGGGTGCTCACAGAAGGAGTTCCATCAGCGAGACAAATAAGGGAAGGTCTGTCTCGATGGACGATGACTGCGGATAAGGAGCGTCAGATGGGGAGACCAGTTCAGGCACCCAGTGGACGAGGAAAGAACAAACACTTGGGTGGCGGCATTAAGAGAAGACTAAGTGGAGGTTTGAGCGATGACCAATGAACCACAGTTCATCACCAGTTGTCGGGATGAAAAAGGAACAAACACTGTCGCCGAGTGTGATCGAAGTGAAAGACGGATCGGGACCCACTGAAATTCGGCGAAATGTCATAATGAGAAACAAAGGTCAACACAGGGCAATCGTATGGTCAAGCACATATCGGTGGAGAGTAGTGCAGAGTGTCGAACAGACGAATATACAAACAAGAAGAGACAAACTAACGGATCACCAGGATCCATCAATAAAAGTTACGGACGTGGTGCTTTTTATCCTATCAATTAGCGAGAGGGGAGTAGCAAAGTGAACGTGTCTCATGTGGTCAAATTGTACCAGGGAGAAAATTCAGGACAGCACGATAACGGGATAGCAACTGGCATGGGGGCAGAAAAACAACCATCGAAAATCCAAACTCTAGAGAGATTGCACAATGTGTTTAGCCATGAGGAGAGACAAACAATGAATAACCATCCGGATGACATGAAAACTGGGGTTTTTTTACGTGGTATAAAAACCAAGTCACTTGCTAGCTAGGCATAGGGGAGACAAACAACGGTCACAGACAGAGCGAGGCTCAGCGTGTTCGAGAAAATAGACCCAAAAGGAGCGGACTACAAACATGCGGCAGATCTTGCCATGATTCCTTGACAGGCAGCATAGTAGGGTTGATTTTTCTGATATTCTGGAACAACTGTAAGAGAGCGTTTGTCAACCAGTTATCAAGGGACTGACTACTTTGGGGGCGGAAAAAATGAATACCGAAATAAATTAATCAGGATAAGGTCTTATTTGAGTTTTACAATTGAAGAATGACCGTTTGGACATATTTCGATTGCATGAGTCAGGAATAACTTGAGCAGATGTAATAACTTCGCAATTGAGATAAAACTGACGCTTGTGAAACACAGATAATTCAAGTGTGTCAGTGTGTTACAAGAATAATTATTAGAACACAGTGGAAGTTATACTCAAACCCATACTGTATCTAAGCAAACCTTTTCGTTAGCAATTTTTTAAAATTCATTTGAACAAAGAAAATTATTGAATATAAATAGAAGTATTACATGAACCAACAATAGTGACGAAGAGATCAGTGGAGTGTATCTGAAAAGATAACAAAAGAATGGAATCATTGAGTTACAGCTATGTCATCTCTACATGTCAATCATCTTAACAGATGCATGAAACTACAATGAACGAAGAAAACGAACTGTCAGGAATTAGATCATTCTTGTGACTCCTGTCAATCTTTGTTCGGAGTGAGATGGGTATCAGTTTGGTGGTTAACTTTCTTCTGTGTACGAATCTTCGCATGATATCACCCCCTGCCGGACCATTGCGGATAAAGTTATCCTATCTCATACTAACTGATCATGTCCGTTGAAACGTGTTCAATTCCACGCTGTTATTATTATCCTCGACCTTTTGTATTTCTGCTAAATATTACGCCTCAGCTTTGTGAATGAACATGGTTACGCTTACGATATGAAACAATGGGCTTTAAATAGTGATCTGCATTTAACCTCTGCCTGCCCTGTCCTTTTGTTTCTATTTCTCCTTTTCAATGCTTCTTAGCTAAGTTCCCTCACCGATGACTTGTTGAGTCAAATCAAACGGTTATCGGAAGAGAACAAGATACTATCCGCAGCTTTGGACGAGGTAAGCTGTTCTGTTTAAATGTACACATGATTTGTATTTTCGAACACTGAGGTAACTGAGGCTTAAAATCAGGTGCTTTATGGTTAGAGTAAAACTTCTCCGTGATACGCATCTTGAATAAGTGACACGCACCAACGAACATTCAAAGTTACTGACGCACTAAACCAAAGACTGCGTGCGTGAATCCAACTGAGAGCATGACCGTTTCGCTCAAACACGTTTTTCTCACCGGAAATCTTTTACTAATTGTGGAACTCTGTTCTGCGGAAGTAACTACGCCGTGAATCCGCAGCTCATGGTTGATCAAATCTCACGAACCATACTAGCTGTACAATTCATTGGCTTTTAGTCTTGACCTAATTACTACAACTTCCGGAAGGGCACATATTCATTACATAAGTGTTTCCACGAAAAAAAAACACTGGAGAAGAGATTTGTAATAGCATACTATACATATAAATTAGAGCCTGAGTAAGCCATCATGGCAGCAGTTTTGCCGAGAGAAGTTGGCGGATACTTGGCTTGTCGCATAATCAGATCCTTTGCTTGCAAACCATTTCTGTATAACACTAAAATGCTGACTGATTTCGACTCAACATTATTCAATCTATGCCAACAATCAGATAGTTTTTTTTTTGCTGATTTTGTTGAATAATAATCTGTTCCCATAAAAACCATTCTTGTCCACAACGTGTTCCTGGCACTGGTATTGGCTAGCTAATTGATTTTGAACGCTCCGGTAACCAGGCGCACACAGAAACGATGCCAACTAGTTTTCACACAAAAGGATCTGAAATCGATCCCAGTCCAAAAAACTATTTCATATTGGTCAACGATTCGGCATTTAATGGAGTCTCCGGAGACCGGTTATTTTCACCGGTTGTGATTGTTGTGAAACAGGTTTTGCGTTATCCATAGTTGATTTGATTTAGTATTATGCGCCGGGTTCGAACAATGTGAATGCACTGATGTGACGTATTGAATTTTTTTCCGAATTACTGTTTCATCCTTTTATGCAATTTCAGGCCAAAAAGGGAGCAGATTTGAACGAAAAATTCCTCAACCTAGAAAACAAGTTATTGGAATTAGAGAAACGCCAGGTGAGTTGACAATAAAGTGTCAACGGATCGGTACATTTGTGCCAATTGATGCGAATACGTTTGTTTTTTTGTCATTTTGCATTGCTTTGAAGCACCTGAAATTTTATTTTGTGCATACCTAAACTGCAATCGTAGACGGCAGTTACTTTTAGTGAAAGTGATGTGAACTGTACCCCTTAATGAAAGTGATGTATTCTCTATATATATCACGGTCATCAGTACGGGTTGTGTTCCTAATCTAGTCACTTCAATTACCCTAATAATTCCGGGGTGAGTAGAAATTAGACCGATACACATAAACGAATACAATTTTAGATGAGCGCTTGTTTCAAATAAATAATTCATGGATGTGCTATTGCAAATAATATGTGAAGAAAAATCCCGGGGTTTGGGAAAACTACTATCAGATTGTGTGATATGGATCATTGAGTGTGTATGTGCGTGTATTTTCCTAAGAGATTTGGGCTGCTTCTGTTTCAGTGATCCTGGGGAAAATGAAGAGCTTGGATTATATCAGTTGATTTATTAAACGAAAAACACAACACTGAGTAGAAAGTTCAGTGGCTTTTTACTTTTGCCCGATGAAACTGTATGAAATAGCAATAGTTGATCACGATTCAGGCCCCATTCTCACCCCTCCTGTCGACTCGTTTGGTGTGGAAAGCCGACCGTTCTGTTCCGGCCTCTTGCTTCTCGTACAACACAAGACACAGTTGTCAGCCATTTGCAAGAGGAACTTAACAGAGGATGACTAAACATATTTGGTCTGGCTGAACGCCTCAGGTCTGAAGTTTCGGGAATCGTCCGAAGAATTCAACCGTCTTATCCGGAGAAAGCGAAAGCTGACACCTTAAACTGTTCTTTCATCTGTGATTCTTGGATTATAAATGGGAACCCACTTAATCTGATAGCCCTGAAGGTGTTGAGAGGAAATAAATCTGGCCACAAGACAAATAAAAGTTGCTTGCATCCAACCGCCTTTCCAATGGTTCCCATTAGTATATGACGTAAGATACGAGGGAACACTTGTTTGGTGAATAATTGTATCATGAAGGAATCGATTGCTGATTGGTTCTTGCTGCTGATTTTGGTATAGTTTATATTTTGTGTTTTATATTTCGAGAGCAGTATTCAATCATAATTCTACTGTAACTTTTACCAGTAGTTTTGCAGCATCTCCACCGGACGGACCCTTTCCATATTTAGCCATCTTTCCGTCTTTGCCATCGATCTTTGAGATAGACGTTTCTGCTATTTTAATAGGTGTGATTTTTCGCCTAAACATGAATGCACGGAAGGATTACAACCATGTATGCGTGAATTTTTAAGGTCATACGTGCATGATTATTGATTGCGCCGGGTTGGAGCGGCTCTAATATAGAGGCAAGTCTAATCGAGGCTTAGAACGTACTTTCGATCGCTATATTTGCACGGCCCTCTTCATGATAATTTGTTCATTATTTCAATTACGAAAGCTTGATCTCATCATTGAATGTGTGGAATAAATTTCCCTCATCGTCCTTTACACGATTTGTATAGAAGCGTGCAGGAGAAATACACTATTTGAAAGATTCATTATTTGTTTGTATGAAAACAGCAAGAAGCGCAGCCCTAGTCTACATAACAGAAACAGGGCACCAGATTGGCAATGAAAATTTCAAGTCCTATACTGAATAACACCGATTTGATCACAACTTGTGAAACAACGTCAATTAGCAATTGCGGAGCCATCGCAATTAGACTGCAAATCCACAACAGTGTGCCCCCCCCCAAAAAAATGATCAAATCGCTCCAGCGGCCCGGACCTCCAGGTGACCTAAAAAGTGAATCCGATCGTGATCTTTGTGACGCAATGATGACGTCAGAAATTTAAACCAATCTCACCACGCTAAGGTTAACGGATGACCACAGAGGTAACCCATGAGTTCCCCTCTTTCCTACCAGAATGTATGTTAGAAACTTGCTTTTTATCATCTGATTAATTGAGTTATCCAACAGGCTGAACTGCTGCTGAAACGTAATTTTTCGCACAGGAAATTACGATTGAAGGTTAGTGTCTTGTATTGTACCATGTTGAAGCTTTCGCGCGTTATATGCATACTTTCGGCCTAAAAGAGACCACAGTTACAATACTGGCAAAAGAGGAAGAAGTGTGAAATCAAACATGTGAATTAACAACTAAATGCTTTAGAACGCTCAGAACAAAGACTTTCCTTCTCGTTCGATATCCGAGCAAGACAGTATACCAAAGAGTTTCTTGAGGCAGATATCTGAGATGGTATGAGTTTGTATCTGGAACGAGTTGATGGGTGGGATTTGTATGCGGACAAGGTAATAGTTGAAAGGTGAGCGCAATCAGATAGAACCTCCAGCACGCATCAATATGAGCATCACAGATATCGGCAATTATAACAGATAAAGGAACTTCGGAAACACGGCTAATCATTGAGAGACCACATTTCAGCAGGTTAAAACCAGCCTTCAGCAAACCATGGAGAATAACAGACGAGCAGAATAGGGCTACAGGGAGAATACAGCTTAGGATTGTCTGCCTGTGGATTGAGACTACTGAAGTCTTGTGCGGGACGGTTGAATAAGTTCTTGGTTTACACAGTTTGAGATGATCGGGTGATGCGTTACACAATTCTTCAGATAGACTTACTCGATGCTCGTGGACAGAAGTCACGATGAAAAATAGTAAAACCCTCCGGCACCTGGCTAAGCAAACTAAAGGACTCAATCAAACAATGGGACCGGTCGGAGAGGCTATTTATTTCTGGTGTAAGAGGCTCACCTAATTATATGATCAGAAGAGAATAATTAAATCACTAGTTGTTGCACTTTGTGGTTTTTTAATCTTTTGCACAGTTTCGCTCCATACACAGCTGATTTCACCTTGCCAAAGTATTTCAACTTCACAGTGTGCCATTCATTCACTCCCACAACAAATGACTTTTAGCCATCAGTGTATGTTGTAACACAAGGCAACCAGATGACCTTTTTAGTCTAATGTATTCCTCAAAAAGGTGTGGAAAGTGCAGTCTATTTTGGGTGAACTGGTGTATGCATCGAATTGACCTCACTAAGGCACATCCTATCTGGGCTTCGACTGGGTGTATCAATATGTGGATGTATGAACAGTATCGTATCGTTACTTGTATATGTATTTCTTGTGAAGAAGACCGTTGTTTATCTCAATGTACACACTAAAGATGCACAAACATATCAAACACCAAGTTTAAATATTGCAGAGGAATGTAGCTTTTAATTGTCCCAATCACTGGTATATCTACTGACAAAATCAAACAGATTAATCGGCGATTAATTACTTCTCTATGCCCATCCGAAATGGCGATTTCCCCCATGATTTTGGTCCGTTATTGATCTAGCATTTTTACTGGCTCCAATAATGTTTTAATTGTTATACCAATTTCAGTTTTCATTTTGTACAACCATTAACCATGCACTATTGTGCTCCGGTTTCGGTTGCTGTCTTTTGTCTACCCAGTTGGATGAACATTAGGAGAAAGACAGGAAAGATTGAAAGTAGGATTAAAGAGAAGATTTAGAATTTCAGTGGATTATTGTTGCAGAGAAAATGACAAGGTACACGAACGCCACTGTTTATGTCGCTCAACCATATCGCTCAGTGTCTCTAACCATCGGGTATGATCATCCCGAAGTCTCCATCCAAGGACCCCAACAGGACCTATTTGACCCAGTCCTCTGGTTAGGGATTTCATACCCTCGGGCCAGGTGTTAGCTTCACCACTCTTGACTTTCTTCCATTCACTACCTGCCTCGGCGAAAATCGCTCGCCTTGGCAACCTATGTGGTGATATGCGTAACAAGTCCCAACCAACGTAATCTATTGAGATTGACCATTTGCTCTAGTTATACCACTTAATGAATCTGTTTGTATCACTTATTTAGAAGCCATTTAGAAGCTAGCTCCACGTATATATTCCGGTTGAGTGGTCACCATTCCACCATAATTACCGTATCCGTGATTCACGTGTGATTTTGTGGGCCTCCTGTTGTCTGACACCCGGCATGACGATTCATCTCAGTAGGAATACGACATGTTTTTCAATATGGGGGAAACAATAAGCAAATCTGAATATTCCATTCCACTTGTTGCATCATTTCTTCACCTCCTCCAAGATCGGTTGTAAACATCAGATTGGTGTTTGTTTATATCTATTTGTTTAAACAGATGAATAAAATTTCCTAGGATGCCGTTAAACGATTGTGCAGTTACTTTCGTTGTTCAGGCATATGTATCCGATATCGTTTGCCGCGTCATTTATTCACTTTTACGCACGAATAATCTAAAAACGTCTCTTCAGACCGAATATTTCTATTGAGTAAGACACTTGTGTATAGTTTGTGTCACTTTTTCATCATTTACTTCTCTCTCTCTCAGATGCAAGATGCCAATCTGTTCAAAAATGTAGTCCACATGGATGCCTTATGTGGTCTGGTGTTCTGGCACAGCCTCGGAGCAGCACTCTCGGGGATCGATTACATCACCGCCTACGCAAATGCGACGGACAAGTTAGCCACCTCAGACAAGATTGCGGAAAACGGAAAATCAGACCGGGGAATAGTTGACAAGTGGCCCGAAAACAAGGTATGAGAGAGAAGAAAACAGCATCTTAAGTTACAACCTTTGGTTAGTCGAGATGGTGTGTGTTTGTGTGTGGACTGTGGGTTAGGAATCCAGTGCGTGTGTGTGTTCACATGAAGGGGCTGGGACAAACGAATACCCAATCATTGATGACATATGATGAGATCATCTGACCTTTGACCTTTTATTTGATATACACTCAGCCAAGTTGTCGGAAACCTTGAAATTGGAATAGATTACGTTTTACAAAGAGAAAATCAGTTTCTTGATGAACCACCAAATGTGCATTATATTGAACAAGAAATATGCAATAGAAATGTTAACTGCAATTCGTTTCTTATCACACAAATTAAAACGATACACAGACATGGTCAACTTACCGTGTGAATAAAGAGAGGAATAAGTTATGCTCGGCCTTTTCCCAATTCTATTCAGCTCGCATGTCCCGATCCGGATCTGTCTTCAACCCTTCGCAAACTGGGTACCGTGGCTTCCGGATTTGATAATGTCCTTCAGCGGATCGATCGTCTCGAGGCAAGTTTCCCATGGCAAACTTGCGGTTTTATGACCTTTTTGTGGACTGTAATCTATTCGTTGACTATTATCTACATATTCACATTTAGAACAACAGCGTGGCGAACAAGCTCGTTTTCAGTTATTCGTAATCATGCCATTACATACCATTAAATGTGACTAACAATAAGAACGAGACAATGAATGAGAGATTTGAGTCCTAATGATTCGGCTGTGGCTCCGATCATGCGTGCATGTGTTTGTGTGAAATTCATAACAGTTTCTCGATGACTATATATCAAACTTGGAATATCCTAAACAATACCGAACTGTGGTACGAAGAAATCGTGTCAACATCATTGTGTCTCTACGTCGCCAAGCACTTCACGAACGAGATACCTTAGCGAACGAAGTGGAGCGAAATTCTGTGAAATCTTCCCGTGTTCTGGATGACCTAACCGTGGAAAAGAAAGGAATTTGTTGCTTACGTTCAATCGATTGCAGACAACCAAGTGATACGTACGGCATTACTAAATATGTCAACCCTAGCAAGCTGGTTGGTGAGTTCCCTTCAGATCCGAAAAGAGTTGTCCATAATTTGTCGTCTGTGAATTTGGATAAGGCCTGACAGGAAGTTCTATCTCTGGGGCCAAAATTCTGTTGTCCAACCAGTAAGATTAAACAGTTAGATCTGGAAGCCGAATTTGAGAGTTTATTCGATCAGCTATCTGGACTGGAGCCATCTTCTCCGCAGGAGTTAGAGAAACTCAAATCCGCACTGGTGAACGCATGCTACCAATATCGCGATTGTAAAACGTCAAAAAAGGGACTGCTTAATTTGGAACACCTGAAGCGTCTCAGGTAGTTACAAGCCTATAGAAAATTGATGAAATCAAGACCAGACAAAGGTGCAAGTGTTGTAATCATGAAAAGGTCTGATTACATAGATAACTTGAGGGCGATATTGAATGAACCGTCCAAGTTTACAAAGACTCCGACTGAAAAGTATAAAACGATTCAGATAGAAACATTGATTTCCACGATATCTGAAGCAAAAAGGAACAATCGATGCACGAACGTTCGAGAGAATACGACCAGCGCGTATAACAAGTCCTAGGTTGTATGGACTTCCGAAAGTACACGAAGAGGATGTCTCTATGAGACCAACTCTGCGAAATGGTTAGCGAGCGTACTGGAAACAGTGAGACTCGCAATTTGCAAGCATAGCCTACGAGAGACTATTCATCTTGTAGAAATTGTGAAGGACCTCGGAGGTAAACAGAGGATGTCATTTGACGTTACTTCTTTATTCACAAATGTGCCAGTTAGTGAAGCTATCAATCATATATGTAGATTTATTCAATGGAACAACATCGATATGGGCATTCCATTGAATGAACTGAAACAATTGTTATTCGTATGCACGCACAACGTCCAGTTTNAAGATGGGGTTGCAATGGGGTCACCTCAAGTAACATTATTTGCTGACACGTTTATGGCCAAACTAGAGAATAATCCCCTGGAGCCTTATATCAGACAGTGCACCCTATATAGACGTTATGTGGATGATGTGCTGTGTATATTAGACCCAAATATGGGCACCAATCGATTGCTTGAGGAGTTCAATAATATCAACCAGAACATAAACCTTTCTCGGGAAAAGAAGAGTATAATAGTCTAGCGTTTCTATACATACTTATGAGACGCCGCAGCGATAGCTCCGTCCAGTTATTGGTGCATAGAAAAGCAATGTGGAATGGACATTATATCCATTGTTATAGTTTTGTCCCTCTTCAGAGGAAGTGAAACCTAATTCGCTCATTGGATGAAAGGGCGAAGGAAATATGCACAGGGGATACTAATAACAATGAACTTGACTTCCTACGTACTGTTTTTGTTCAGAGTGGCTACCCCGAACGATTTATCAATAGGGCAATGCTAGAACACGAGGGACGGCCAAAGGAAATAGGGGCAGCAAAGAAGTCTGTCTATGTGCACCTGCCGTTCAAGGGAGATACGAAGGCAGAAGTCTTTCAAAGAAAGCTGACAAGTGCAGTAAGCAGAACACTTTACAATTCAAAGCTATGTTCACATCCAAACCAAGTATGTGTTTCCGACTAAAGGATAGAGTGTCAGATTGTGCAGCCTCATTCTGTGCATATTCATTCACCTGTTCCTGTGGACCTGGGTACAATGGCCGCATGACCAGCTGTCCGATCACGTTCGCGAACACCATCCGGCTTGGCTGAGGACTGGAACAATTAAGACAATTATGAGCGCAGTGTGTTTGCAGCTCGTTGAGTCAAATCACTCGGTAGGTGTGGCAAGATCGTTCCGACCGATTTACAAGGTTCGATGCAGGCATCAAGAGCAGTGAAGCATCGCATCTTAGCCACGGCCGAGGCCGCAAGTATTCGGACTCACACATCCCCCTTGTGCACCCAGAAGAAATTTGTGCTAACACTGGCCCACTTCATCCACTCCAACACGTGTGCAATCACTTGAACTTTTGACACTGTGATGAATTTCACACAAACACATCCACGCATGATTGGAGCCACAGCTGAATCATTTCCCATCCCTTGTTTCGTTTCTTATCGTTAGTCATATTTAATGTTATGTAATGGCATGATTACGAATAACTGAAAACGAGCTTGTTTGCCACGCTGTTCTCAATGTGTTCTGTGGGTCTAATGAAACGATATCAATATTTCATATTTGATTCTAATTGTCATTAGGGGAAGTTAAGGTTCTAGGATCTTTTTTTGACTTAGCCTACTATCGGGATTTGTTTATTCTATTAGTGAATTCAAGTGGACTCCAAACAATCTCAATCAAGCGGCTACTGGGAAGCCTTAGCCGGTACATGTTTTGAATAATGAATAAATCCTAGAACAACTCAACTGAGGGTCAAACACACAAGATCCCACGAGTAGAACGCAAACGTACGTCACAGTGAACCTCATCAGCTTTGATGGTGTTCGTCTGCTCTACATGTTGTGTTGAGCTTTCTTTATGCGTAACGGGATTTCAACACAGACTGTGCAGAATGCGTGCTTCGGATTCCTTTTTGCTCCATATCTTACAGTGTCTCTGCGCAGCACCGATGCACACCTTTTTGGTCTGAACCAGAAAGATAGGAAACACCAATCGAAGTCAATGCTGACGATCAATTATTCCTATTTCAATGATAACTCACCGTCTCTTACAGTCTTGCTCTACACGTGAAAGACAGCCCAGCGAGGGTGAACGTAAGTAAAACTTACCAGATCCATCAGAGGCCGTTATAAAGCTAGTTGCTCTTTCAGAGAACTATCATTTGCTGATGTGACCTGCCCATCACCATCTCCAGCTATGCTCAAGCTCCCAAGGTACTCGAAGCTTTCGGTTACCTCCAGCCGATCATCATCAGGTGTAAGGGGAGGGGGAGACATAGACTCCTATTAATGTTCCAGCAGCACTTTACACATGGGTGGCGAAAGCATGAATGTCTAACTTGATCGCAAGGCGGTTTAAAGCTTGTTCGACCGTCTGTGCAATGTTACATAGAACAGCGTGATCATTGCAACATTCTAAGTAGAAGAACTGCGTTTTTCAGTAGGAGTTCAACTACGTAATTTACCAGACTAGTTGAGAGATTCTTTAGAGTAAGTAACATAAAAGGAATAAAAATAAAATTTAGACCTTGTTGGACTTCACGGGAGACAGCTAAGGAGATCAAAAGTTGGCCATAAACCTTCACTTGACCTAGAGTATGGCAACATACTTTATTGAGAATCAGCACATGTACTCCAGTTCTTTTGTTACAGTTCCATAAGGCAGACCAATCGATGGCTTGGATGTCTGGGTACACAATGATTGTTGATCTCTGGAAAGCATAAAACAGCCTAATATACTGTCGGGGGGATATATGTTCGATTTGTCCACCATCCGTGCCAAAATTAACTTGCTTCACACGGGTTTACCATACATGGGAACAATGATGGACGTTGCAGCATGATGCGGCTTATATTTAGCGTCTTCCTAAAACACCCCGCACAATCCCTGGCCACTCACTGACGTTCTCAATACACAGGTAGGACACACTTCCCGCAGTAGGTTCTTCGTGGAGGGGGCTCCCGAGTGAACTGGGAAAATACAAAAAGCAACCAAAAAAGATCATGAGAAGTGTATTGGATTACCTGTGGCGGACAGCCAGCTGAATTGTGATCTACAATGCTCGTCGAAGTGCTGTCACTGAAATTATATGCTGTTGATCGATATATTTTGTTGAGACCAGTGTCGGAAATTAAAAAAAGGTCATTGAGATGCATTGATACTTATAATCCGCCCTTAGGACAAAATTTGGAGAGCTCAGCAATCACACAGATAAAGAGAGAGAGAGCAAAAGACATCTAAATTTACTAATTGAATCGTATTCACGCTCGTATTTTGAATGGATGACCAACGGACTGTATCGAGGCGTTCGAGAAGTCCATAAAAATCTGCCATCACACACGGCCGGGCGCAAGGGAGAGACGCTCGTGTGATCAATAAATTCAACGCACAAACATAATTCGAAACTGAACTCAGATTGCTTCATTTCGGAACTTCAGCAAAGCGATACCCGTTTATACAACAATGGGTTTAAAGAACACCTCCCATTGTTTATGCCGGTTGAAGACAACCACCTGCTGTGGTGCTGAAGTTGGTTCATCATAAGTCCAATTAAGTTCAGTTTGGACGAACATTAACAATGCACTTTCGTGTAGTGGTGGTTGTAGTCGCTGTCTTTCGACAACCTAGGTGTTGTAATTTAAGGAACACCAGACAAAATAAAAAGAAATTTCACGCAATTCGTCATGCACATCTTTGATTACTCCAAGAGTACTGGAATTTCAAGCCGCATGTTGATTCCCACACCAACACCAAGCTGGTTAAACTTCAATGATATTTTTTAATCTGCCGCATTAAATGAGTTTTCAATGTGATCTCTCATACTTAATCCCCTTCCTCACGTAGGAACTGATTGGTCAAAAGGCTGATCGATTGGAACTGGAAAATCTTGGCGTCCCTCCTGAGCTGTTAGATAGACTTGCTCAACTCGAGGGTACGGTGAAAGAATTAGCTAAAGAACGCGAAAAGGTATCCGATAAAAAGCAGACTGTGACACGCAGATTGCTCCTAGCTTGGTGATCATGCACTAACATTTGAACGTGGACATATATGTGTGTTTACAATCCTGCGCGTTCCATATGTGTTGAGCCACGTCTTTTGCCTTGCTTGAACGATATCTCTCTGATCACACCGGTGTTCACACTGCTCGTTGCTTGTGCACGTACTATGCATTCTGGAAATATTTTGATCCCCCGCTGAACGTGTAGGCGACAAGGCGGACAATTAGTGGTGATGGTGATCAGTTTTCTGTCTTTTTAAGTTTATTTTTACTATTTTTATCCTTTTACCGTGCAAGTGAATGGAGTAAGACAAATTTTTCACTCCGTAGACGTTTGCAATAAGTGATTGGGTAATGGCTACGTTCAATACATCCAGATAGAAAATCCATCCGTACTCGTTGCACAGCAGTCTCACACCTCAGTCTCACAAGTCCGCTCAACTGACGTATCACTGATGGTGGGAGACGACGTTTGAGAAATTGAAAACACTATGTTTTCAGTTTCCGTGCTAAGAGTGCTAAAATCCTATGAATATTTATTTGCTTCTAGAAGCAACACTGTCAATTGACTAAAGTCAAAGTACTACTGTCTGGTGAACTGGGATGGTTGGTTTGGTTTAAACATCACAACTTAATGAGGATGGTTCTCTGATGCAACTGATCTTTTCTTCTTGATTTTCACTGTCATGCAAGGAAAGTTTGAGAAGTGGAAACAGTAATAAACAACCGGGTAAGAATGAAAGAACTGCGAGATTACCGGAGTTAACGTGCTTTTATCGCACGTTATTAATTACAAATGATACTTCCAATCAGTAATTCTTACACTTAGTTGAAGTAAAACAATTGTGCAATGTATATTCAGAGCGGAAAGCCGTTGGTAGTGAGAGGCCATAAATTTAGGAGGGAGAGTATATCGCGACGTGGTTGTAGACAATAGACTGATAACTATTGCCGCCGAAAAGAACAACAGTAGTGCCCTGCACTTCTGACCAGCAACCCGCTCAAGTACTGACCAGATCTGACGGTGTTCAACAACGGTAATCGAACGGGAAGCTACGAGAAGCTCCAGATGTGATATAATCAGACCCAACGGGTTGAAAATGGAACATTATAGCGACTGAAACAATAGCTTAGTAAATTACTTCGTAATTTACTTTCGCTTGCAACCTAAGTGACAATTTTTAGTTACCAAGCATATCAGTGACCTTAAGAGTAGAACACAACTGTTTTACTACCTATTATTAGTGCATAATCATCACTGTGGACCTGATTCTGTACACGAACTGTGGATCTTATGACAACCTTTTGAAGTTTGGGTTATTTATTGACGATAGTATCTGGCCAGGATCGAATACTTGGTTGGAGTATGCAAACGTGTTGCAGGAAAGCCCGGTTAACCTCAACGAGCAGCGCTCATCTTCTCATTCCCTCTTTACTACTTTCAAATACACCGAAACACAATCAATAGTATTCAGGTAATGATTTGATTTTAGTATGCTCATACCTAATAACGTCATGTATCCACGACCAGCTTTATCATACCTAGTCGAACTGGGCGATACGATTACACTTTCATGACAACCGGATAGAGATAGCAACATTTGAATTCAAACTCCATATTGTCCAAAACAAGCGGACTTCGTTGACTAAAAGTGTGCCATCACCATGGCAGGGCTGGCGTGAGAACTGAAAGAGATTTGACCTTGAAAATGTTATGTCTCTATCGTCGGATTATGTTACTTTCGTGACGGCGTTTCGCAGCCACACTCTTATCAAAAATTTAATTGTATACGAGAATGAACCAATCGTTAAGTTTCTAAGAAATCAAAGAAGACAGGGCTGTTTCCATTCCACATCGTGTTCCTAAGTTTCTCACTTACAAACTCAGGCTATTCAAACTACTTCTTGCCATCGTAGGCTAAATTGTGATATCACCATTGTCTTTTCTTGCAAGCGCAATCAAAGACTTTTATTGAGGTGCTCTGGCAGCCCGTTTGATGAATAAAATTTTAATTAATAGAATACAGGATATTAGTAATCGCATGCCATGTAAAACCATTGACAACCGTGCGAAGTGTAAACAATTTCTGCAGTGTATGTAGTCCTCGAAGGCAACAGATGCCCAGTTATTCCGTAATAGCATTTATACATTTCAGCAATGCCTGTAATTGCCTCACATGACCTACCTGAAGGATCAATGGACGACGCCCATTACGGAATACATTCAGACCTATTTCAACGTGTGTGAATTTTAATTACTTATCTCTCGGTGTTATTGTTTCTTTGTTTCCTCGTGTGAAATATCAGTTGTTTGCTTACTTGTGTGTGTATTACTTTAACATGAACAGGTTACAATGCACAAATTAAAATTTGCCTAATTTTCAGATATATGTTGACTGTGGAACAAACCCACATATGCCATTTCCGTCGGATGTGAGCCAGTTTTATTTTATTCGTAGGATGTGCTTGTTTGTTGAACGTAGATTTTCTGGTGTGATTTTTGAGATGAACGATTTTGTGCTACTCACAAAGTAAAAGTAGTTATTTGAGAAATGCAACGCTAGTGGTCCGATAATGCTTTCCACAGTGTTAACTGCATTAGGAGAATGCTCAACCACTAAAAGTACACGCATTATTTACGCTTTCTCTTACTAAGGAAACTATGCAGAACAATAAACAAAACTATTCCAATAGCACGGTTGCCACTGCGATTAGCTAAATGCAATATTTTTTTCATTCAGAACGCTGTTTTCTGCCCAATTCGATCTTCGCATTTCTATACATTTTGAGCCCAATTGTTTCGTGCTATCAATGTCTCAGCGTATGCGGTCCGTATCGGACAACGATGGACAGTCATTTTTGGCAGAAGACGGTAGTACGATACCAGTAGCACTACAGGAAGGGGAGGAAAATGAAGAGGACAGCGAAGAAGCGAAAGAGTCCAGAATGATGAAGGTAATCTAGGAATCACCTGAGCGCTTTGTGTACATAAGCCTTCCACGTGCCCTGCGCAGTACACTGGATGCACCTACACCTTGATCTCTGTTAGATCGCCGCCTCACACACACATTTGTCGAAATGCACCATCCAATACCAGGGGAATCTAATAAATATTGGTTGATGGAATGTATGTACAAACACAAAAATGTCAACGCACGAAGAATCACTTGTAAAGTAAAAACACTAAAATACCGGCGTTGATTGCATGTGAAACAATAGTGATTGTTGATTGAGTTCAATATCCATTTTGCAAATAGACCACTGCACTGGAATATGTTCCATATATATATTGTCTCCTCACCATGTAGATGATTGCACACGCATTTCTCAGACCATTGTCTATGCTTTTGTTCACGCTAATGAGTAAATGGTTAAAGCTTTATGCAGAGACGTTTGAAAATTGGATCGTACAGATGAACTTTTCAAGCAGTCTGCAAAGGCACATAATCACGATATGCAACAGTCAGCATGTGCACCACAAGACCGACTTGGGGAACTGGATTAGGAGATTAGAGAGTTCATCAGTCACACGTAGACCCCAAGTAACAGTCTAGTAATTAAAGCTAAAATATCACTGGTTTATTGGTTTGTTCGATCCTAATTGATTGATGCGTAATTGTCGTTTTGGTAATACACACCAGTGTAGGATGAACAGCAGACTGGGCGGACCCCATAGTCACGAAGAGCTGCTGTTCAGTGATGGTAACTGGCAACCTAATCCCCGGAGCTTGAAGTGACGAACTACATAAGATCCCGCTAGGTCAGGCGTGGTATNAGAACCGTGCGACAGAAAAGCTGCTTACCACCACGGTTGATTGGCGATGGCGGGGCTCGAACCTCGAACCACAGGGTCCAAAGCACCTCAGTGACAGCGGCTAAATCACCACACAGCTACCACAATCAATCACAACTCTGCCCTCGTGCCCGTGTCGAACTGTGGTGGATCACTCATGCAAACCATGAGATAAAGACACGCACCTAGCAGGGACCAGAGTCCTACTTGATTTGATCATCGTTCAGCTCCATTAAGCGAATGGATGGTTTTGAGCTGTATCTAAGACAAAAATTTGCTTCGATAAATCACCAACTTGGTTTAGTAGGAAGCAATCCATCCAACCGCAGTTTCGCGGTTCTTGCCAAACGTCAGGCATGTATATCCGGTAGTCTTTTGTCAGTTCATTGGTATACTTATACCCAGGAAGTGTATTTTTGTTAAAACCACGTTGTTTGCAACACCGGGAGACTTTGGATAGACTGCTCTTTCGGAGCCAGTCCGTATATATATATATTACACCGGCTCGTAGAGAAGCATGGTGCCAACCCCACAACAATATTAACAATGAAAATAATAGGGGATATATGGATTGGAACACATGTCTAGCAATTGAGGACCTGTGCTATATTTTTAGTTTAATTTTGGCATACATTTGAAAATCCCATTTTGTGCATAACTGATGGTGTATATGCGTTTAAACGCAGGGTTTCCTCAAAGTGACATTTCATTCAAACTTAATAAAGTGGGGAAGGTAAAATTCAACAACAGCTATATAATTCTACACAAGAGATGGCGTAGGCTCGAGGAGAAAAGTCTTGTGTATCCGCATAACTTTCTCGCAGCCATTGCCTCTTCTGAGTGCCGTGAAATTACACACAGGTTTAAATTAATGAGGGTTCTATCTATCACTGTGGTGCATAGTGTATCTTGTTTGTTAATCTGAAGTAGTCAATTTTGAATTGACAAATAAAAAATTGAGCGGAAAGTAATTTATGCACATCCGTTTCATGCTCATCTTTAACATCTGCGCAGTTGAGCCCCACCCCACCCCACCCCACAGACCTCAGTGTGTACTTTATCCTTACGTTAGCTCTGAGAAACGCGAACAAAACCTCGATTATCCTCACTGCGTGTGTTTGAGTGTGTCTTTGCATTTATGTGCGTCTGCGAGACTTAGTGATCCATCCGCCCGGGGTTTTCCAATGAGTACCGAGAACAGCTGTGTCAATAAGTCAATAAAGAGCTCAATTGTGACAACAGCACTGTTACTAGAAGTTCTCAGGCTATAGTCAGTGGAGGTGATTGGGTAAAGAATAGATAGTGATGCGAAAGAGACCTCCTGGAAACCATTTTAGATGTTGTTGTGTTAACTGAAATTATTTATTTCTGTGTTAGTTTGCACACCAAAATGGTGCCGTAGTAGAAACGCTTATTGATGCAAGGTTATGATTGCATGGTTCCCTTCT